GCCGAAGCTTGTCTCACCAAATCGAAATCCCCACAGTGCGCTCTGCAATCGTCGAGAGGAAGACATGTTAGGGACGAACTAACCAAGGTACACCCCATAACGGTCACTGCAAGTTGAAAACGCAAGGCTAAACCCACCTTGACAAAATGAGTGCTGTGCTTGACCTCCAAATCTTCCACTGCTTTTTTGGTAGGGGCTAGCTGCATTTCACGGACGAGCTTCTGCTGCTCAATCTCCGTTCGATATTGCATAGGGTAAGTCATGTCACCGAGCTTTTCATTTGGAACTTTGCATTTTGGGCAGGGGAAAGCAGTTTTGATCCCCGATTTGGTACCTGCCACCTTGCACTGCTCCGGGTAGTCCCCAAGATATGCATAGGTGACAGGGTAGACCCAACGTTCGATCCCATAGGGGTCTGTCAGCTTCTCCCCCCTGTAGGGTAGGGTACGTATCAGATAGTCAATGTCAAATAAAATACGTAGAAACCAAATACAAAATACCAGGGAGGGGGAACGGAGGGGCCATGCATGGACGATGCAGATAGGTGGGCAGGGAAAACGACGGAGGAGGGGAGGGCCAGGGGGACGGCAGGGAGGAGGGCAGGGCGGAGGACAGGGAGGAGGGCAGGGCGGAGGACAGGGAGGAGGGCAGGGAGGATGGTAGAGAGGAGGGCAGGGAGGATGGTAGAGAGGAGGGCAGGGAGGATGGTAGAGAGGAGGGTAGGGAGGATGGTATAGAGGAGGGCAGGGATGTTGGTAGAGAGGAGGGCAGGGAGGATGGTATAGAGGAGGGCAGGGATGTTGGTAGAGAGGAGGGCAGGGCGGAGGGTATGGATGACTACACATTGTCGTCCTTTACATGCGAAAGGGCCACTCAGAACCACTCACTTTTTTAAAAAGTTCATTTGTTCCTCCAAGATCATGCGCAGTGCATCGTGGTACACTTCATTCCGCCTGCGTGTGTCGTCAGCCCCTTTGAAGGTCTGGTCGTCAATTACAGGAAGGAGAGCGACCAGACGGCGGCCGTGGGATTTCCACCTGTTTGAGGAAGAGATGTTAGCGAGCGATATGTATACAGGCCACCCGGTCACCCCGCCGTCAGTAGTCAAAGTTGTCTGATCAGAGTAAAGGATAACAGCGGCAACATGACCATTCACAGGCAGCGCATCTTCTACCTCTGCCCACCAGGTTCCAGTTTCAGGACCCTTGTAAATCCTCATCTGCTTTTTACCAAACCTACGAGCCCGAACCACGAATCCCTCTGCATTGGCCCGGTTCTGGTACAGCCCTCGTACACATGACATGCTTGAGCGCCAATACAGTACTACGGGCTTTAGGTCACCTGGCTTCCCAAGGCTTGTGGTTTGAAAGCCCTCCAACTGAGCCTCTGCAGTTTGTTTCTCCTCGAACCTATCAAAATCGCCTAGACTCCTAAGGTTAACACTACCCGGATTCTCAAGGGCCTCAATCAATATCTGAATCAGTTCTTTGATGTCAGCTCGGGACAAACCTGCACCCCCTGCAGCTGTCCTACAGAACTTGTAAAACCTACCATCCATGTCAACTAAAGAGGGGTTGCCTGCAGGGGAAAGGTCGTAGCCGGTCAAGTCTGTGCTGGGGGTCGCTGCATCCGTCTCTGGTTCTAATCGGTCCCCCAGTTCGCATGGAGTAACAATCCTACGTTTTCGGCTTCTGCACTCAAGAGCCTGACCTGCGGCCACAAAGCTACGCATGCTATAGCCCATGCCCGCCGTGTTAGCCCCAGCTGCTGCTCTACCCTGAATGCCGTGAAACGTATGCTGGCCCCTGCTCATGTGCGACGCTTTTTGTCGCTGAGTGGCAAATTTTGCTTCACAGCCCTCCTGATCGCACTCAAAGGGGAGGCTTTGTTGATCCATGTTGCTGCTGCGCGACGCCGCTAAACCTGATGCTGCGAAGTTACCTGCTGCACCACGCCACTGCGGCCTGCTGCCACCGCTTTGCGGATGCGAGCGCGCCTGCTGCTGCGAACTCATGCTGCTGCTACTGCCGCCGCTGCGCACTTGCTGCAGCTGCAAATGCTGCGAAAGCACCTGATGCTGTCAACCCTGCAACCGAACCTGTTCCTGCTGTTCATGCAACGTGCTCTGATCCTTCACGCCCAAATGCCGAACGCACATGCTGCTAATGTGCACCTGATGCAACACACGTACATGCCAATGCTGCTGCTGCTGCTATGCGCTGCTGATGGCTGTGCATCGAACACATCTGCTGCTGCTATGCGCTGCTGATGTTGATGCACCGAACACAGCCGCTGCTGCTATGCGCTGCTGATGTTGATGCATCGAAAACAGCTGCTGCTGCTATGCGCTGCTGATGTTGCAGCACCGAACACATCTGCTGCTGCTATGCGCTGTTGATGGCTGTGCATCGAACACATCTGCTGCTGCTATGCGCTGCTGATGTTGATGCACCGAACACACCTGCTGCTGCTATGCGCTGCTGATGTTGATGCACCGAACACATCTGCTGCTGCTATGCGCTGCTGATGATGATGCACCGAACACAGTTGCTCCTGCTATGCGTTGCTGATGCCGATGCACCGAACACATCTGCTGCTGCTATGCGCAGCTGCTAACGCTAGACCCGAAAGACTTCTGAAGCACCTGCTACTGCCGCGGCTCCTATCGCCCCTGCTGCAGCCCGTTTCTGCTACTGCTGATGCTGCGAACGCACCTGCTGATGCGATCCCACCTGCTGCGCGCCGCTGCTGCTAGCGCGCTCCGGTGCTTTACGCGCACATCCCGCTGCCGCTGCTCCTAACGCCCCTGCAGATGCGCGTTGCTGCTACTGCTGATGCTGCGAATGCACCTGCTGATGCGATCCCACCTGCTGCGCGCCGCTGCTGCTAGCGCGCTCCGGTGCTTTACGCGCACATCCCGCTGCCGCTGCTCCAAACGCCCCTGCAGATGCGCGTTGCTGCTACTGCTGATGCTGCGAATGCACCTGCTGATGCGATCCCACCTGCTGCGCGCCGCTGCTGCTAGCGCGCTCCGGTGCTTTACGCGCACATCCCGCTGCCGCTGCTCCAAACGCCCCTGCAGATGCGCGTTGCTGCTACTGCTGATGCTGCGAATGCACCTGCTGATGCGATCCCACCTGCTGCGCGCCGCTGCTGCTAGCGCGCTCCGGTGCTTTACGCGCACAACCCGCTGCCGCTGCTCCAAACGCCCCTGCAGATGCGCGTTGCTGCTACTGCTGATGGTGCGAATGCACCTGCTGATGCGATCCCACCTGCTGCGCGCCGCTGCTGCTAGCGCGCTCCGGTGCTTTACGCGCACAACCCGCTGCCGCTGCTCCAAACGCCCCTGCAGATGCGCGTTCCTGCTACTGCAGATGCTGCGAATGCACCTGCTGATGTGATCCCACCTGCTGCGCGCCGCTGCTGCTAGCGCGCTCCGGTGCTTTACGCGCACATCCCGCTGCCGCTGCTCCAAACGCCCCTGCAGATGCGCGTTCCTGCTATTGCGGATGCTGGGAATGCACCTGCTGATGCGATCCCACCTGCTGCCCGCCGCTGCTGCTAGCGCGCTCCGGTGCTTTACGCGCACATCCCGCTGCCGCTGATCCAAACGCCCCTGCAGATGCGCGTTTCTGCTACTGCGGATGCTGCGAAAGCACCTGTTGATGCGATCCCACCTGCTGCCTGCTCTACGCGCACGTCCTGCTGCCGCTTCTCCTAACGCCCCTGCTGCAGCGCCCTGCTGCTGCTGCAGACGATGCTGCAAATGCACCTGCTAATGCGATCAGGTTGCTGCGCGCTGCGGCTTCAAGCACGCTGCTGTGTCTCACGCACACATGCCGCCGCGCTGCCTCTGCTCCTGCTGCTGCGATGTGCTGCTGGCCACCCGCTCATACGCTTCTAGCGCGCACCGCTACTACCTGCGGATGCCGCAAGCGCACCTACACGCTCATGTGCCCCAAGCGCGCGCCTGCTTATCTAAAAATCTCTTTGTGCTAAAACACACTGCCGTTTGCCCTATTGGTGGTCGGCTCCTCGTAGCGGGCAAGTGCAAATGATAAGATGAAGGGCGCAACTACCAAACCAACGTTTTTAAAACTAGGAAATCGGTTGTTAAGTGAGCTAAATTCCGAGCCGCGTATTTCTCACAGCAGCAGGATAAACTAGTCGGGAGGGAGTGAATTGAGGTAATGCTCCTCTGAGTGCCAAAGTGAGTTTCCAATTTTCGCGCCAAACCACGCCCAGCATCCAAACTGACATGTTCCTGGCCTGACGAATGGCATTCATACACCATTGAGAGTTGAGTGCCTCAACGAATCCGAAATGCATTTCGTTACATTGTGCGGAATGCGCAGGGGGTAGAACAACCCTAAGCGAGGAACGCAATCCATACACAGTATCGAGGTTCACATTAAACTGTACTTAGTCGATTTTGTAATCAGCTTAGAAACATAACATTCACTGTTCAACAATGTCGAGGTGTTTCTTAACCCGAACAAAACGGCTGGTTCTCGAGCCGCCACCGGAGCAACTTTCCCAACCTGCGGAAGTTGCCTGTGTCACTCGTCCAATTCTCTCGCAACTTGCGTTGAGAAGGAAACTTGAAAACCTAAACCTGTTGAGACTGAAAAGCGAGTGATGTGCGATATGCCAAGCTCGGAAGTTGCAAGTAGCACGTTTTCAACATCTATTCCGCGAGGCCAACAATTGCGATGGTATTGTGCGGCACTGAGCTTCTGGAAGAGTCTCGGCAGGGAGAACTCGAGGGCATCACGGCGCGTACAGCCGCTCAGCGAGTCGTCCAGCGGCGGATCGAACGACACCCGCCGTTGTTCCGCCGTGACGGCCCGTTGCAGCGCTTCTGACGCGACCATCTGCTGCGACAGCACCAAGAATGGGGATACTCGCCATGACGCCGCCGCTGCCTGCAGCGAAGCCTGCTCTCGCGACGACACAGCAGCACCGCCAATGCTTCCAGTGCTTCCACCTGTGACGTCGGATCAAGCGGCGACGCAGAATCTAGCTTCGGGAAATCTAAGGTTAGATGGAGTGATGCTTAAAGCGCCCGATCGTGCAGAATCGGAAACTACTGCAGCGTCGGACTCCGCATCATCGCAACCTGCAGCATCGGGATTCGCTGAGTCGGACTCTGCAGCTTTAGAATCTCCCGCATCGGAACCTGCAGCATTGGCGGAATCTGCAGCTTCGGCGGAATCTGCAGCTTCGGCGAAATATGCAGCGTCGGCGGAATCTGCAGCATCGGCGGAATCATCCGCGTCGGCGGAATCTGCAGCTTCGGCGGAATCTGCAGCTTCGGCGCATTCTGCTGCGACCGAACCTGCAGCATCGGCGAATCCCGCAGCGGATTCCCCAGCGTCAACGGCGTCAGCTGGTTGCAGCAAGGCAGCACATTCTGCACCGCCGACGCGCATCCCGAAACCTAGTAGCAGCAAGGGAGTGAACGTGAGGCGCGTGGAGGGAGCGACACTGATTCCGAAGCCTAGGTGTGCTGCAGCGCACAGGGAGGTGCGGGCAGTGCAAGTGGAAGGTGCACGCAAGCGGCCCAGCACAACGTCCAAGGCCGTGCTCGCTACCTCCAGGCGCCCTTGGCGGCCTTGACTGCTGCAGTGAGAAACAATCATGGTAAAAAAAAAGACGCACAAAAGAGCTGATTGATCAAGCATGGCAAAATAAAAAATACAAAAAAGCAAGTTGAATGCAAGGGTTATTTAGGCGGGTGATGACACAAAAGCACAGCAGCGAAGAGCAAGTGGGGTTTGCAGGGCGGTTTGGGGCTGAGGGCGTGGGGAGCATGGTGGGCCACTACCCTTTTTTGCAGCCTGCTTCACAGCAGGGTGTTTGTGGGAGTGTGTGTTTGCTGAACTTGGTGGGGGGTGGATGGAAGGCTAAAGAAACTGCTGCTATGCTCATGTGCTCCTGAAGGGATGGCTCAGGACTGATGCGCTCCTCAAGGGATGGCTCAGCACTGATGCGCTCCTGAAGGGATGGCTCAGCACTGATGCGCTCCTGAAGGGATGGCTCAGCACTGATGCGCTCCTGAAGGGATGGCTCAGCACTGATGCGCTCCTGAAGGGATGGCTCAGCACTGATGCGCTCCTGAAGGGATGGCTCAGCACTGATGCGCTCCTGAAGGGATGGCTCAGCACTGATGCGCTCCTGAAGGGATGGCTCAGCACTGATGCGCTCCTGAAGGGATGGCTCAGCACTGATGCGCTCCTGAAGGGATGGCTCAGGACTGGGGTAGCCAATAGTTAGTTAGCTGTGAAATTGTGTTTAGGATTGGGAATAATATGAATATATTTCATGCATTTGGGTGTGAATGAATGTACCACCCTGAACGGCTTGTCAGGAAAGTTCTAGAGTGTAAGTGTCCATTCCTGTTCCACACACAATGCCCTGGCAGGTGTGATAGATGCCGGTAGTACACTGTACAAGCTCAATAACCAGATGCTGCAGCAGTGCTGCCGAATTCACTTGACAGCCCTCCTCACACACAGCAGAGCATGCTGAGTTGAGAGGGATGAGTGCAGTGGTTTCACATGACACAGCAGCCAAAAGCAAGGTTCCTCCCTGGCAGCATATGAGGCAGGGTGCAGCAGAAGCATGATGGTGTGGCAGCAAGATAAGGGTGTGGGTGGGTGGGAGGGTGGGAGGGCAGCACGGGGAAGAGGGAAGGAGAAGGGCGGGAGGAGAGGCTTGTATGCTGCTGTCCAGAAGCCCTTGCTGCCCCCTCTCCCACTCCCACACACGTCACGCCCCCACCCACCCCAAGCCTAGCCCCAACGGTGCCTCTCCTGGGGCTGCTGTGGGCGTGGGCGTGAGAGTGGGGGAGTGACTGACGCATGGCTGTCATTCCCTGCTGCTGCAGGTGCAGGGAGAGAGAGTGGGAGGGTGGGCGGCAGGGAGTGAGGGAGGGAGTGAGGGAGGGAGTGAGGGAGGGAGTGAGGGAGGGAGTGAGGGAGGGAGTGAGGGAGGGAGTGAGGGAGGGAGTGAGGGAGGGAGTGAGGGAGGGAGTGAGGGAGGGAGTGAGGGAGGGAGTGAGGGAGAGGATTGTTGAGCAGGTGGTAAGCAGGCAGGAGCAAAGAATGGAAGTTCCAGAGGAGCACGGGTGGGGAGGGGGGGCGCGCATGTGGAGAGCATGGCGGGGGGATGTGCATGCAGGTGCTTCATCCCCCCATGACATGAGCCCCGCATCCTGCATGCACCCTGCCACACGAGCCATGGCCCTTCCCACCCCACCCAAGGCCCACACCACATGCCCCCCGCCCCCACGCCACCACCCTCCACCCTCACTGCCCCATGCGCACTCCCCCCAATCCACCCTCCTCACCAGCAATCGCTGCTTGCAGCGCAGAGAGTCTTGGCTCAATATTCCCCCGTCGCCACTCACCACCTGCCTCAACTCGTCCTCCCTCCCCGCCCCTGCCGCCAACCCCTGCACCCCTGCTTGCACTCCCTCCGCTGCTCTCACATGCCCACCAGCACGAGCATGCGCGTGCAGGCGAAAGCGCAGAGAGCGCGAGAGAAGCGGAGGCATGCAGGCAGGCAAGTGCGCGGCGTGTGTGGCAAGAGCAGGAGAGAGGCGGTGAGAGGGTGGGTCAGGAGGGCGGCTGGGCCCCACCCCACCCCACCCCACCCCACCCCACCCCACCCCACCCCACCCCACCCCACCCCAGCCCAGCCCAGCCCACCCCAGCCCAGCCTAGCGCAGCCCAGCGCAGCCCAGCCCAGCCCAGCGCAGCCCAGCGCAGCGCAGCCCAGGCGGGAGCAGGGTGGGGTGGCAGCACGTGGTTGTCCCCCCCGTGGTGGTTGGGGCACGCAGCCCTCCTGGCTGGCGCGCCACTGCCACACGCCACACGCGCATCACATGCCATGCTGTCACGCACACCAAACGTGCACGACGGATTCTTGACGCCCACGGGGACTGCATGTGGCACTGTGGGGTGCACTGAGTGTGAATTGGAGAGCAGTAGAGGCGAATTCGTGTCACACTTGCCTCGTGTGTCACACTTGCCTCGTGTGTCACACTTGCCTCGTGTGTTACACTTGCCTCGTGTGTTACACTTGCCTCGTGTGTTACACTTGCCTCATGTGTTACACTTGCCTCGTCTGTCACACTTGCCTCGTGTGTTACACTTGCCTCGTGTGTTACACTTGCCTCATGTGTTACACTTGCCTCATGTGTTACACTTGCCTCATGTGTTACACTTGCCTCGTGTGTTACACTTGCCTCATGTGTTACACTTGCCTCGTGTGTTACACTTGCCTCATGTGTTACACTTGCCTCATGTGTTACACTTGCCTCGTGTGTTACACTTGCCTCATGTGTTACACTTGCCTCATGTGTTACACTTCCCTCGTGTGTTACACTTGCCTCGTGTGTTACACTTGCCTCGTGTGTTACACTTGCCTCGTGTGTTACACTTGCCTCGTGTGTTACACTTGCCTCGTGTGTTACACTTGCCTCATGTGTTACACTTGCCTCGTGTGTTACACTTGCCTCGTGTGTTACACTTGCCTCGTGTGTTACACTTGCCTCGTGTGTTACACTTGCCTCGTGTGTTACACTTGCCTCATGTGTTACACTTGCCTCGTGTGTTACACTTGCCTCGTGTGTTACACTTGCCTCGTGTGTTACACTTGCCTCGTGTGTTACACTTGCCTCATGTGTTACACTTGCCTCAAGTCACGCTCAGCACCCACAAGCTTGTAAGCGGCAGGCGCGATACTGATACCGATTTTCAGCGTGTAAGCGGCAGGCGCGTGGGTGTGTGGGAGGCACTCACACGGGAGAGCGGCGTGGGACGGTGATGCCGCTGCTGCCGCTCATGCCCACTTGCCACCACCACTGCTCGGCCGCGCCACCGTGTCGTGCCGCCCACACGGGCAGCTAGCGCCAAGCTACGCGTGCTGCCGAAACACGCACGCGTCGTTGGTAGCAGCGGGCCCATGACGCGCGGGTGTGAGTAAGGGGCGTTGCGCGCGAGTGTGGGTAAGGATCAGAAGCGCGGGTGCGGGTAAGGGTGAGTTGCGCGCGTGTGCGGGGGTGAGTTGCGCGCGGGTGCGGGGTGAGTTGCGCGCGGGTGCGGGGGTGAGTTGCGCGCGGGTGCGGGGGTGAGTTGCGCGCAGGTGCGGGGGTGAGTTGCGCGCGGGTGCGGGGGTGAGTTGCGCGCGGGTGCGGGGGTGAGTTGCGCGCGGGTGCGGGGGTGAGTTGCGCGCGGGTGCGGGGTGAGTTGCGCGCGGGTGCGGGGGTGAGTTGCGCGCGGGTGCGGGGGTGAGTTGCGCGCGGGTGCGGGGGTGAGTTGCGCGCGGGTGCGGGGGTGAGTTGCGCGCGGGTGCGGGGTGAGTTGCGCGCGGGTGCGGGGGTGAGTTGCGCGCGGGTGCGGGGGTGAGTTGCGCGCGGGTGCGGGGTGAGTTGTGCGCGGGTGCGGGGGTGAGTTGCGCGCGGGTGCGGGGGTGAGTTGCGCGCGGGTGCGGGGGTGAGTTGCGCGCGGGTGCGGGGGTGAGTTGCGCGCGGGTGCGGGGTGAGTTGCGCACGGGTGCGGGGTGAGTTGCGCGCGGGTGCGGGGTGAGTTGCGCGCGGGTGTTGGCAAGCAGCGCCCAGTGACGCGTGAGCGCGGTCGGGTGGCTAGTGAATGGCGGTGCCGCGTGGATCCGCCGCTCGTCGCTCACAAGGGGCTCGTCGCCCTCCTCGTCAAATGTGCACCTGCCGCTTCCCCGCCGCACACGCGCCGCTGGCGGACGGGCGATGGGCGCAGGTGGCGAGGCGAGCAGCAGCGCGGTGGCCATGCGACATGGCTGGCAGTGGACCCACGCGCAATAACCAACCCTCGACACACACCTCACTCCTCTCCACCGCCATTCCTCAACACACTCTCAGCTCTTTCAGAGCGCACAGGTCTTGCTTCAGTGAGTTGGTCCACGCAGTGCCAGGGCGTCCGGAAAGCAGTGAGTGGGAGTGTGGGAGGCATTCACACGGGAGAGCGGCGTGGGAAGGTGATGCCGCTGCTGCCGCTCATGCCCACTTGCCACCACCACTGCTCGGCCGCGCCACCGTGTCGTGCCGCCCACACGGGCAGCTAGCGCCAAGCTACGCGCGCTGCCGAAACACGCACGCGTCGTTGGTAGCAGCGGGCCCATGACGCGCGGGTGTGAGTAAGGGGCATTGCGCGCGAGTGTGGGTAAGGATCAGAAGCGCGGGTGCGGGTAAGGGTGAGTTGCGCGCGGGTGCGGGGATGAGTTGCGCGAGGGTGCGGGGGTGAGTTGCGCGCGGGTGCGGGGTGAGTTGCGCGCGGGTGCGGGGGTGAGTTGCGCGCGGGTGCGGGGGTGAGTTGCGCGCGGGTGCGGGGGTGAGTTGCGCGCGGGTGCGGGGGTGAGTTGCGCGCGGGTGCGGGGTGAGTTGCGCGCGGGTGCGGGGTGAGTTGCGCGCGGGTGTTGGCAAGCAGCGCCCAGTGACGCGTGAGCGCGGTCGGGTGGCTAGTGAATGGCGGTGCCGCGTGGATCCGCCGCTCGTCGCTCACAAGGGGCTCGTCGCCCTCCTCGTCAAATGTGCACCTGCCGCTTCCCCGCCGCACACGCGCCGCTGGCGGACGGGCGATGGGCGCAGGTGGCGAGGCGAGCAGCAGCGCGGTGGCCATGCGACATGGCTGGCAGTGGACCCACGCGCAATAACCAACCCTCGACACACACCTCACTCCTCTCCACCGCCATTCCTCAACACACTCTCAGCTCTTTCAGAGCGCACAGGTCTTGCTTCAGTGAGTTGGTCCACGCAGTGCCAGGGCGTCCGGAAAGCAGTGAGTGGGAGTGTGGGAGGCATTCACACGGGAGAGCGGCGTGGGAAGGTGATGCCGCTGCTGCCGCTCATGCCCACTTGCCACCACCACTGCTCGGCCGCGCCACCGTGTCGTGCCGCCCACACGGGCAGCTAAGATGGCATTCCTGGGGATGGCCAAACGCCAAACGCTTGGACATCTGAGTGTCGGTGCCACGTGCCTTCAACGAGGCAGCCCACCAACGGCCGTGCGACGTTTTCGCACGACTGATGTTCAGTAGTGTAGTTGACAGAACGTGCTACTGTAATGGCGCCGTTGTAAGCACCAGAATGAGGGCCAAATTTATTTGGGTCATAGGAAAAAAAAAAACCACAGGGATGGTTGCACTGAAGTAGCGGGTGTTTGTGTTGGTAGGGAATTTAGCACTGCATACCCCTATGCGTGCGAGGGTTGTCAATTCAGCAAGGAATATTTTCGAGGGTTCGTCCCCTGGCTTGTTCAGCGTCGAACAGGTCGCAGACGATTGTTCGCGCACGAAATTCATTGGTGCGCGGGCGCAGATGTACACTTGTTGCCAACGGCACAAGGCTACTTTACACGTCATTGGAGCGGCTAATGTCCACGCCATCGCCAGGAACGCCCTCTAAAGGAGGTTGAACCACAGGTTTTGGACAATTAGCACATCTTTCAGTGTAATGCGCGTATTGCTAATGCGCGCCGTAAAGACCACAATGCCTTGCAGTCGATTGTTCTTCGCCAAAGTGATGGGGATTTACACGGCGTTGGATATGAAACACTCAAAGCCCACCATGTACTACCCATAGCAGCTATCCATGCACCACGCGTTGTAACTCACACGCAAGCAGCGCCAATTACGGCGTGACGATGTGCAGAGTGTCGAGTTTCATGAACTGTTTGTAAAGGCGCCAATCGGGTGAGGCGCTGCACGGGCAGCGTCGTGCATACACGGCGACGACGGTTTCGCATGTGTGTGGTGTCATCATGTTGCTGATGACATTACGCGTGGGTCCAGGCTGTAACGGCTGCTGTTGCTGGTGCTTAACCGACGGGTTCGCATTGCGCGATAAGGGCTGGTAGCCCTGGGCTTGATGCGTGTCGTTTCTTGCCTCTTGTTGGCTGGCCCCATTTCTCGAATTGGACTAGCGAGGGGCAGAGCGGAATTTAAGTCGCTCGGCTAGATGCCCATTAATTTGTTTTTGCAAAATTTTGCAATTAAGGTGTCGCGGCCATCGCTCTTCTTTGTTGTCAAAGTAGAAGGCGATACGTTCCCGTTATCGTCGCGGTGTGTATCGCTGCCGATCCATATCCCTTTGTTCGACTAGAAGGGTGGTGCATAGGGCGGCTTCCGAGATAGCCCCCTGTTGTCGATGGAGCGCCTTGCGGGGTCGCCATTCTGGGCCGAGTCTTGCGAGCACGATGTTCACAAATCTCTCTTCTAAAATTGAGCTCCCGATTTCGCAATTTGATCGCGTAATCTCCTGTAACGAGCTTTGATGTAGGTGTTTGCCTTCCCCCTTGGTGCCATCTTTGTTTCCACTAGCTTTTGGAGTAGGCGTCTTGATGACACCGAGTCCTTGGGTTGATACATCCCATTGAGATGTCGCCAGGGTTCAAGGGCTGGGGCAGGTGATGTATTGTAGGAGCGAATTCCGAGGTGCTCAGTAGTATGCCATACGCAATGAATGATTAAAAGTAGTGCCGCACCCTAGCGTCGTCGGCGTCGGCCGTGGGTCTCGCGTAGCTCCCGTCAAAATAATGGAAAATTCTGCGTGTTCTACAGTAGCAATTCCAGCTCGAAGCTCTAGCTATAGAAGTCTCTACCATCAAAGTAGGCATTTGCCTATATTTTTTATATGCTCAAAAGCCTTGATTGAGCTGGGAAAATTGTACACTAAACGAAATAATTGTCCACATGCTCATGTTTTAAATGAAAAATCGTCTTGGTAGCTAGCGGGGATTAAGCCCTTATAAAAGGCCGCCATAAAGTTATAGCACAGAGGGTATTACATCGTCTCACGTGGCTTCAAGGCGTTTAACACTGTTGAACAAGCATCTGGTAGACAGATAAGTAGATACTATCATATGGACAATTTTTGACAATTTCAATTTCACAGTCAAACCAAGCCGAATCTAGTACTTGGTCCAGCGACCCTTGGCCTTGAGCACAGCCCGCGCCCGCCTAGGCATGCTGTCGATCAGCTCACTGCACCAGGCCGCAGGGATCTTCTCCCATTCCACTTGAACTCTATCCCACAGCTCGAGAATGCCTGCAGGGGGGCGGGGGTAAGCAAGCAG